AAAAAAAAAAAAAAAAAACAAGTGATTTATTTCTGTTAATCTTCGTTTATCACAAGAAGATAAAAGTATTTGTTTCCAAGTGTAATTAAATAATTCTTTATATTTACGTTTAAAATATGAATAAGGTACAACAATAGAGAGTTTATACTTACTACTATATATGAAGCATGTATTGTAATAACTATAACTGTTCTGTATTGTTACTTATGTTTAAGCTGAAAAAAATATTGAACAGTTTCATTTTGAAGGAAAGGAGGTACATGTAGGGAGAAAGTCAATATATTTATTAGTTAATTTAGTATGTAATCCTATTCATTCTCAATGATCATAATATGTATTGTTTGATTGATCTCTTCCTGATATATTTAAATAAACGGATTTTACCATTAACAATTCTAAATAAAGATATACGATTCTATGGTTTTAAAGAGTAAGTAGATGATGTTATTCAATATTGGAAAATAGTTATGATCAAGGTATGATATTCTAATTAAGAAGCTTGTGTTACATATATTCTAAATTAATATATTTTTTATGTGTGATTCTAATTGCGATTTAACTATTCGAAACGTTTCAAAGCTCGTAAGTATGTCGATAGATCCGTAAATCAAACGCTCAACGAATCGAAATGTTTCCAAAGATCTATAGACAACATCGGAGTAATGTTTTGAAAAATAGTTAATAATTTCGATAAGAAAAATATTTCACCACTCACTTGCTCTATCTTCATTTAATTTTTAACATATCATAGTTAAAAACAAATAAATAACAACAAAATAGAAATGGTATAAACAAATAAATTCCAAGATGTTTCGAGCAGTGTCGTATCTCCTTCTACTACTTTTCAATTAATGAAACGTTTGAAACGTTTGGAAAGTTTGTCAATGGACAAACGTGGCACCTGAATGGCCCTCGTTGGGGAACCTCGAAGCTCGATCCCATCGATTCATTCGTGCGTTTCCTCTGAACTCCATAGTACACACGTCGTTGCATTCGTCTCAGTTTGAGTACCAATGGCAAACAACGATCAACAGAAAGGGGAAAAAGCAAACTGTCGTTGAAGTTGTCGTTTAGGGCAATGCTCGCGTGCTCCCGTCACTTATCCCTATCCGTAACGAAAGCGAGCGTGCACGTTTTGCACGTACTAGCTGGGCGGTCGGTCGAAAATTGCGCGATCACACGCACAGGCGTTGCCGTGTACACGCTGTTACGCAGGAACGCCTGAAATCGCGGGAAAACTTGTCAACGATGCCGCCTTTCGTTCTAGCGATAAAAGGTACACGTCGTCGGGACAATAATTCGCAAAGTATGTTTCCTGTCGGCGGCTGGTATCGCCGATCGGCATCCGCGTAAGAGAACCTGGAATTACGTATACCTTGCGTTCGCGGCCGCGACCAGCTTCCGGTTATGAAATCACCTCGTTCCTCTCCGTTTGTTTCCTTCTTTGCTGCCTCCTCTGCCCTATCGGCGAGGGATTTCGATTTTACATTTGTCGCTGAAACGAAATTCTCCTTTTGATTGATATGGAGTGAAGTAGTCGAGAGTGGTGAAATACGCACGATTTTGTTGAAAGAGTTTCATACTTCTCTATAGTTTCGTTATTTTTAGTTTTAGCTTTATACTTTTGTTTTATTGGAAACTTTTATTACAGGGAAAATACGGTTTCTAATAAGATAAGATAGCACATTATATTTGGTGATAAATATTTTCCTGTTTCCTTATTTCCATTAATTGTACAAATATTGCATATAAATATTATTAAAAATACAAATACTTTACATGTGAATATATTACATGTAAATATTACTTGTCTGTAGTTTTACACTTCGATTTTAGTTTTATACTTTTGTTGTTGTTTATTATAAATTCTTTATTAAAGGAAAAATACGGTTTCTAATAAGATAGTTAAGATATATTTTTAATTATACAAATATAAATATTATTAAAAATACATAATTGATTCTACAAATACTGTTGCTGATATTCGAAAGATGACCGATTATTTACCTGTAATTATTTATGCAGTAATACAAATATTATTCGTGTTCGATGATTCGTACAACTAGCGTGATTGCAGCGTCAGTTAGCACAACGTGAAGAAAGAAGTTATCGTCGAGGAAAGTGTTATGAAAGGCAAGACAAGCGGCTATTGCATACGATTACCATACGATTAGCACATTACAAGATCGGGACAAAATCTCGGTAGACGGGGAAAAGAAGTGGTTGTTCGTTCAAAAATAAGTGAAATATGCAGAATCAACTTAATTTAAAATTCATAGAGGCATTCTTACAAAAGTTATTGCTATTAGTTTCTTCTTTCGTGGCAAGCTCGACATTGCAAGATCGGCACAAAATATCGGTACACCGAAGAAAGAGTTGGTTACTCGTTGAAAAATAAATCAAACGTTGCAAAATAAATTCAATTCTTAATTTAAATAATAACGAAATTAATATTATCCGACTAGAAGTGCTTTTATATTAGATAACCTCGTATCACGTAAGAATGTAACGTTGTGAAATAAACCAAATATG